CATTATTATTATTATCGTCATCCTCCTCCCCATCTTCTTCATTATTATTATCATTATTATTATTATTATTATTATTGTTGTTACTATTATTATTATTATTATTATTATTATTATTATTATTATCATTATCATTATCGTCGTCATCATCATTCATGTACATACATATATTATTCATGATTTGAAGCATCTTTTAATTAGCGTTGTGCAAAAACTTGTTATTTATATTCTCATATTTACATCTCTTTCGCTCCACTCCACTCCACCCTTCGTCCACCATATTTTCGCTATTCATTGCATCTCGTATATTTAACGTTTAAATGGGGAATAATTTCTTTACTCTTTTATCTTTGGCATCAACAATACTGCTGCCATTTTTTTCCTCAGCAACAAACTACAGCCGCATTCAGTATTAAATTCGCATTATATGGAGTTTTTCACGATGAGTGGGTTGGTTGTAGTTTTGTATATTTATTTGCTGTAACGGGGTTTAAATATGCATGAAAAGCTCGCTGAAAACGGTTATAAAGTGTGGACAGGATTGCCAAAGCTTGTTTATTTTTTTTGAAATTTCAAATTTCAGATACTTTTCTTCGCTTCATTTTAGTGTTCCGAAGAGAGATTCCATCCAGAATATTGACTCGAATACGCAGTTTAGCAATTTAACTGTTAAACAACACCAATTGATGGCCGTATCTTCGATGACTGGAAAACGAGTAAATTTCGAAATTTCAAATCAAAAAGTTTTTCACGTTTCCGCGAAAAGCAAAACAGGAGGGAAAATTAAACGGGATATATACGATGGGATACGATGCGAATATGCTGTTGTGCACCGCCAGTACTCGAATCTGGGAATGAAAATGTATGATGGCGTGTACACAAAACTAATGGTTCGGACGAAGCGCCTTACGGGAAAGCTTATGTCAAAGCTAATAACACTTTTAAAGCCCTTTCATTGCCCAATTGGAGGCATTGAAGTAGATTTTTTCGAAATTTTTACCGAGAATCGCCGGATCATCTCGTTTATATATGTTTATTATAGATTGCGAGTTACATTGTATATCTCGTGAATAACTCAAAAACTTTCGGTATAAAAAAAATTTCGAATTTTTATTCAAAACCTTCGCATTATAAGAATTTTACCATATTCTGGAATTTTGAAGTGAAGAATGTATATACAATTGACCTGTGCTGTAGTTACGTGCAAGCGTTTATCAGCTGAAATTGTATTATGATAATATTGAACCAGGAATCAAGCACATTTTTCCTACATTTGATATCAATTTGCTTAAAGCATACGCGTAGGTCCCGTTTTGATCGGTAGATAACCGTTTTACATTTTTTCCATTATGTCTACACTGTACGACGGCAGTCTCAACGAGAAAGTGAATCAAGTGATTTGCGCAGCCACATTCTGAAAAATCGGCTTCGTAACATTTATGTAAAATAGGGTTCTAGAGGGACCGAAACCAATGCTGGCCGGACAGTACCAAGATCGAGGCGATAATTGCGACTTTTCTCGGGCAATTAATTCCCATAGCTTGACCGCAATTGCACGCTTTAACCGCATTACTTGTTGACAGTGTAGAGTAGATTCGGTCGTTTGACCTTGATACTCAAAGCGTCCGATTCTCCTTCGATATCACTATACTGCAAAGCAAAACAATTCGGGCTTTGTCATCATTTCTGCACTCTTATCCATCCTGAAGATCAATCGTAAATCGCACTTTCCCACTTGCAGAACGAAAACGAGCAAACCATTTACGTGCTGCTGGTTCGACTAGAACATTACTACGATAAATGTTATGAACTTTTTCAGTAAATCTTTCTTTAGAATTTGAGATCATTTTCAAAACGCGATTACTTTCGATCCAATACTAGTTTGTCGGGTTGTCTATGCGTTGTCATATCCGATACGCATACGAGTATGGTTTTGTAGGAGATGGGATTTAAGATTAAAATTAATTAGCAGTGATCTCGAATCGGACGATTAATTTTTGAAAAGTGAAAAATTTCCTGATATCGTACTATGGTATCTCTATTCTATGAGCACTCCCTTCCCTGGCGCGTTGTCAATATGCTAGGAACTTACAATTCACTCACTCTACCTGTGCTTTTTCAGCCACCTACCCTCGCCGTCGTCATCATAACCTATTATGTACCTATTGAAAAATCAAGTAAAAAGAGATTGTGTTGCTTGTTTTCCGGTTGGCTAACCCACTGCAGTCAACCATATTGTTATCTCTCATATATATTTCATCTTCTTCACTTCTTGTCTAACCAACGCCAACAACTCATATTCCCCTCCGTTGCGGCGCCTGTCTCGCTTTGCACGAAGCGTACATTTATGAAAAGAGAAAACTTTTTTAATAAAATGCAATAACGGGATTCTTTTTTTCATTCACATCCTCATTTTTTCACATTCCATTTTTCAAGTATTGTATAAATTGCAAAAACATTTTTTCCCTCATTTTTCGTTTCTGTTTCTCGTCTCTGTGCGGTTTTTATTACACAGAGAATTTATTTTTGTTAACGGATGAAATAATTTTTTAATCGTAATAAAGCTCAAGTGCAGGTTGTTATTTTTTGTTCAGAACATTTAATGGTTTCACATTTTCCATGCTTTTTACCGGGTCGTCCTTTCGTCGCCCCCTGCATTCTATCACGTAAAGGCACCTCTTTTTGAATAAAAAAAATTAATTGGTAGAATTTATATAAAATAAAATGAATACACAGTGTCGGCCATTTTGAAAAGATTTTTTTTTTTTTTTTGTTTTTTTTCGCTTTTTTCATTTCTTTTTTAAATTGAAATATTAATGCAATGCCGGGTTGCGACGGTTCATTTTCCGTTTGCCGAGATGATAGGGAAAATATGTTATGAGCTTTACAAGCAAGAACAAGGCAAACAAAATTGCCTTTGTTGCTCTAAAATTTGAAAGATCCAATATTTTTTCAGAGAGCTTCCATAAGCGATCAACAGTCACCTTGATATGAAAGTACAATAAGTACGGCCGCAAGTAATTGCACGAAATTCGCAAAACGTTTTTGCTAATCTCGCACATAGCAGACGCAGTGAATATATAGACTGTAGTAACCTAGTATACCTTAAGCGCATATTAAGTCAAAGCTTCTGGAATTTCTGGGCGAAAAACGGAATCAAGACATTTTCGTAGACATCTTGACAATATTAAGAGGGTTTTGCAGAAAAGGAAGCAAGCTATTCTCGGAGAAGGCAAGCTCTGTGCTATACGGGACACGAAATCAGTGAAAATTTTCCAGTCACGACTTCCCAAAATCTTTACCAGTTCTGGCCTTGTTGCGATGTTATTAATCAATTCTGCAACGTTTATTCGCATTGCACGCTTTACGCGCCATAACTGTAACAAAAACATACAGCCTCGCCTCAGGTGTTATCAATCCGGGCTTTGCTATCATTGCGATCACATCATTCATATTTGGCCACGATCTGTTTATAGTCGCATGTTTCAGATTTGTTGTCATCTGCCATAAATCCCTTCAAAAATCGCTTGCGCAGGTGGAGATTGGGTCTATTCGATTTTTCAAGCGCGCTATGGCGTGTGGCTTGATACGCTTAGTATCGTTAAAGTTACACGACTAAGGCTATCGCATAGTCAAGCAGTTAAGAAGTGGAACTATCAAGTCGGCCTACAATGTTTAATTATGGTTGCAGCTACAGTGAGTGCATACGCTTTCCAGGCTGCGGCCATTGCCACTCTCTCTCTGTTCTTTTCCACATTTATTTCTGGCCACCATCGTATTACACGTATCAGGTATATCCCCTGGGCGATTGATCAAATTAAAAAAACTTGCTTGGAAGAATGCATTTTGAACTGATTATGATAATCCAAGATGAACGAACCGTAGGATGCCAAAAAACATCAAAGAGCACCAATTCGTCTTAAGCTTATAACAGTATTGTTGAATATTTATAAAGGAAATGCAAAGGGACATAGTCGTACGATTTGATTTATTTCCTACTTGGACTTTTCCATCGTCCACGGACCCGTGCATCGAATATATATTTGCGCTTTTCGAAGAGTGAAGTGAGAGGTCGTTGAACGCAAGTTTTTTTTGGTCTAGAGACATTTCACTTGAATAATTGAATGACAAGCCAAAGAAAAATGGAAATGCCGTTCTAAACGTAAACTCTCCGTTCGAAATTCTTGATTGATATCGTATAAAAAAATCAAGTGTCAAAGAAAAATACTGTTGTCTTGGTTTCGTTTTTCTTTTTATGTCTCTGAACGTGTGATGATTAACGACCACTAGGTCTAATGCCAGGCTTATGTCGAATGCAATTGACTGAAAAACGTCCCGTACGAAAGACTACTACTATTGCGTGCGAATTTGCATCGCATGAGTAGGATGACTCTTATATGGTTTTAGGTTGAAACAGTGCTTAAAGTGAAAATTTGCAGAGCGCGAGTGGGTGCCGTTGCTGGGAAAATTCCAATAGAAAGTGGTGAAGAAATGTGAAGCGTATTCTTTCTTTACGGTTATTTTAGAGACTAAAACGAATATCATATTTTAGGTCAAAAGCGACAACAGCAACAACAACAAGAAGGAAAGACAAACATATATCGAGCATATTTTCAGAATGGGTTACTTTGGACTATGCATAAGCTTGATTTACGAAAGCAGAGGCAACCAACAATTCGGCATTCTATAGAAACTAAAATAGCGAAGCATAAATCCGAATGCGAATCGCAGATTCGCGTCCATATAATTGGTGAAGAAATGGTGAAAAGAGAGCGGATAAGTGCATTAAAAGAAAAATGTTAATTTTTCGTTTTTAATTTTAATTTTATTTAATTTTTATTATTTAACACATTTTGTTTAATCTTTTAAAAGTATGTTTTTATACATGTTTGTTTAAATTAAGTTAATATTGCACAATACCTTAAACTATATTTACAGGGACAGAGGCGAGAAACTTGACAATGACTCTTCTGTGAAGTTTGAAATAAAAGTCAATGGAAAATTTACATGGGGCAACCGTGAACGTAGCTGACGTTACGAAATATAGCGGCAGCAGCGGCGGAAGTTAAAAAATTGCACGGATTGGCAGCACTGAACGAAGTCAAGGCTGGCGGACAACAAGTAAGTGGATTACCGTTTGTACCGTTTTCACCAGCACCCACAAACTCTTTCTCTAAAGTGGCTTGATGGCGCAACTGCTCCAAACGAAGTTGATTTTGACGTTTCCATTTAGTTCTGCAATAAAAAAATTAAGAAGAAGAAGAAGAAGAAGAAGAAGCATTTCATGGTGCGAGTGAGAGTGCAAGTGAGAGTGAGCGAATAGTTGCAACTGATTACCTGCGATTTTGATACCAGGTTTTAACTTGGGTCTCGGATAAGTTTAATGTCTCAGCCACATCGCTGCGATCGGCTACACTTAAATATTTCTGGCAACGAAATTTTCGCTCTAAGTAAGCCAACTGAGCATGAGTGAAAGCGGTGCGTCTTCGTCTCGGTTTGCGACCACTTTTCGTTAAACTCATTTTGTGATCGATAAAATTATGATTAACGTTATTATTGGGATTTGAGTTCAACGTCGATCCATCGGCTTGATGGTCATTATCGTTTAATAAAATGCTAGAGTCTCGGCTAGAATCGTTAGCGTTATATAATAAATGTTGATTGCCTAATTGACGATGATGGCCGGAGAAATGGCAATTCAGAGCTTCCGAATCCAGTGAAGAACGATCTTCTATATCGATATCGGAATTGTTGTCCGATAGATCAGAATCTGTTTTAAAAAATAATATATTAAAAATTCTTCATAAATAGTCTCACTAATGCCGAAAAATAACAAATTATTTCAACTTTTTAACAACCCGTTGTGCTAGCGCGTGCAAACGCTTAACTTCCCACTAAGTAAATTATGAAAAAACAAAAAAATGAAAATATATTATATCCATATATTACATCCATATATATATATTTATATGTAGTTTTTTTTGAAATTATTTTCTATATATCATGTATTGAAAGGCACTCAATGGCAAAAGTTCTCTCTTCTGAACTGTTGCTGTTAAAAGACAATTCAAACGTTAATGCATTATCAAGTGGGCGTCGCTTCGCAAGACGAGCACATATGTGCACATGCTGCTTGTGTGAAAAAATGTTCAACCCTAACTCGTTATTATCCTTCAAGTGTCTAACTTGGCTGACTTTCAATGTTGCTGTCGTTGTTTTTGTTGTTTTCCTTGATTTCATAGGAAATCATCAGAAAACATTAAAAATAATCTTTACCTCAAATTGTGTTTTATTTATAACTGGCATGTGTTCCACATTCAAAGATATAATGTCCTATCTGTGGTCTACACGTGTTTCCAATCTTATTTCTCTTTCTCTCCTCGTAATCAGACTTGTTTTTCTTTGCGTAAAATCTTTTTAAGCATAAATTGTATGAACTTCTGACCATTGCATCCACGTGCTTTTCGATTTTTTAGCATGGAATCATGGTGAGATTGAGAGATCAACAAATACGCATCATAAGTTTCATATTAATATCGAATAATATCGAAATGAGATTTTCATAAAATTTAAGCTATCTCCACGTGTCTGTCCGTCCGTTTGCTTGTATGCGTTCTTATATGACGACGTAAGATCGGAAACGCTTCACGTTGGTTTTGCTCTCTCATGTCATCTTACCTTATTGTAAATAAACACTTAAGGAATTTGCCATTGCTCTATGTGCTATTAAAGAAGAGGCAGTTCTCATGCATTTAATCTATTCAAGACGTCTATGTTTGCTTGCAAGGGGCATTTAGATAAACATAAATTTCCAAACTTCATATTTAGCAATCGTAAAGTACGAAAACAGGTGTGTGTGTGTGTGTGTGTGTGTGCGACAGATTCATTAATGTTGAAAACAGATTATCAAGGGCAATTATCAGTTACGCGAAAACTTAAGGTAAAATCAACTTGATCATCGCAAAGGGTTTAGCAATTCTAATTCAACTAAAACGTTCGGACTTGAATAATATTTGTGAAGGTTGTCTTTCGTTTGATCACTCTTACAATGCCGCTCGCCGTCGAAAAAAGTATTTTGTTCGTTAATTTTCATTGTGAGACTAATCACTCAGGCGATCGCACCTATTTGTGTAATACGACGACGATCGGAAAGAAGTAAGCGAAGAGAAAGAGAGGGAGATGGTGGCCGCTGCCTAGGGGATGTGTACCCAATCAGTAAATGTCCTCTGTTTCTACCGACTAAGCATTCATCATAACCACGATGAAAGTAAACTGTACCGCACGTGGGATTTGAACCCACCAACACGGACTTGATAGCCGCATCTTGTAACACTAATCATAAACCTAGCTTGTACGTTGTAAGAGTGGGTCCTTATGGGCAATAATTCATGGCCCATTCATTGAAACAAGTGAGCAGACAGACGAATATAGCAGATGAGCTAGCACACTCCCGTTCAGTTTCCTTGAAAATTTTTCTCTATCTTTGCCAAAATACTTAATTGCGGCCGTTTTTCTATTAATGTTCAGTTAAATCGCCTCAGTCGCGGTCACCTACGTTCTGGAGCAGTGATTTCTTTCTACAAAACATGTCGTGATCAATTCGAATGCAATATTTAGGTTTGCTTGGATGTTTTACATTCTGACATTTATCGACTTAGGTTATGAAGTTTGGCCCCTCCCTTCCCCCTTTATCACTTTATCATTTTCTTTGATTCACACAGAAAAAGCTATGCTATGCTAACTTACAAATGTGATTTTTTGCACGCGTTTGCACTTCGATGAGATCATTGGGATACTTTGGCGTAGTGCAATTTACGACTTCTTTGAAAAGTTCTCTAAGCTTAATTATAGACTGTTTCATGAAACTTCTGGATAAATCTCTTAGGCGATTCTGACTGACCTTTCGTGACCGCAGTCTAGATAAAAATTTGTCATCAATTTGCCTCATAAGAGGAATGCATACATTTATACGGCTATATAGCTTCCTTAAGTTTGTTTTTTTTTTTTTTTTTTTTTTTTTTTTTTTTTTTTTTTTTTTTTTTTGTTTTTTATAATTTGTTTATCTTTTTTATTATTTCATCAATATATTTTGATATCCTATTGTCCTCTTTGCCAAAAGATTTTTTGTTGATCTGCGTGACTTTTAACCCCATACAGCGGAGCGACGAAACAGCCAGAGGAGATATTCACCCCATTAAAGCAGGAAACACGTATGTACATAGGTACGCTTGTGAGTGCTTAACTGAAAAAATATAATAATTGAAGTTTATTGAAAAATCATATTCGAGAGTAAAATCTTGACTTTTTTTCGTGTCTCTGATATTATGCGTACATATATACATGTCCTAATGCATAGGTACATATTATTTAACAATCGCACTCAAGTGTCTCGTATGGGTTTTTGTCTTAAGGACTTTTTCTTTTTTTTTTTTTTTTTTAAGAAGAGTAGAAGTTAGCAAAAGTCACGTCTTAGCAATTGATTCTCCATATATATTTGAATTTTTTATTTGATTCTATTTTTTTTCTCTAAAAAAAAGAAAAATTATATTAAATTGAAAAAGTTTTCTCTAAAAACACTTTAATGGCATCGTGGTGAAAGTTAAGTGTCATAATTGTCTTGCGTTTATCTCTTAAATAGTTGTAATTACTTATTATACATACCTCCGTATATACATATTATTTACAATTGTGTTCAGAAATTTTTTGTCTTTTAATTCTTGTGGAAATTATTCTACACTTAAACCCGATTATAAAACGCTAATTAACATCACTAATTGTAACATAACCTAAGGGTAATAGTCACAAGAAGAATCATAGGAATTACAAGAACGCGCATTCATCTACTCGTTCGCATTGTCTTACTCTTTCTTTCTCTATTCCTCTTATTCCTCCCTCTATCTCGCCCTTTCGCTTACCATCTTGCATTATCATTTTCATTACGTCTATCTCTCAACCGCCTCTCTATATCTGCCTCAATTTCTTAATCAGTAAGTCTTCTTCGCTCCTTTGCGATACATTATAAGGTTTAATTGTTATGTATTCACGTATATGTGCGCGTTTCTATTTACATATATATATATATATATATATATATATATTTTGAATAAAATGGTTTTTGTTGTTATTGTAAAAATTTATCATTTGCTTGCAAACTTGTTTACGACTGTTTATTATTGTCGTCTTCTGTACGTGACAAATTGCTTATAAAGTTGTTAACATGTGTCTCTCCATTCATTCAATCACAGAATCTCGTTTGTGTTTTCATTTAAATGTAGCTTTGCCCGAGGCTATCTGTTTGCTATTGTGTACTCGCAGATGTTTCTTTCTTTCTCTATGTATATATATATGTATATATAGATATATATATATATATATACAATCACTCCCATAGTCTTATTTAAGTGTTGAGCTATTAACAGTTGCGTTGTACTCAGGGTATATGTACCTTATAGTCCTTCTAGCTAATTGGTTTGTTTATATCCTGTGGTTTTTTTTTTTTTTTATTTATTTTTTTGATTTTTCATATTTTTAATCACTACTTTAAAGGTTCGGCAGTATAGACGAATAGTAAATGTCGAGTCTTTAATATATATGTACTCTTAAAATTGATGAAAATAATTAAAGAAATATTTTTATTCGGCATATCCACTTATTATATAAGGATACATTAAGTCTGTGCGGAGGTATGCAGCATCCAAAGGGATTTGAGATAGATCCACTTTTTGCTTTACGGCTCGATGCAGAATTACTTTCTGAGTCGAGTTAAGCTAATCATATCGATCTGCCCGTTTGTTCCTTTTGTTTCTCTGTATTCATCAGCCTACAGGCCGCAATGTTTTAGGTATTTTGATGAAATTTGCTGCACTGATGTGTTTCGACTTAAAGACGCATACCATTTAAGTTAGCTCGAATTGAAGCAGTTTTTCTACGACTTCTCATATAACGCTTTATTTTGAAAATTCATTATATGAATAACTGTAGGGTGGCGTAGGATAGGCTGTGACCCATAACACTAATAGTGCTTTTGCTTGTTTAATTCTAAAAATATATCGTCAAGATATGCAATTCTTATCAAAGCAAGTAAGGACATTATAGCCGGACAACGCTGACTCTTAAATACCGTACACCATATGGCCTAGGGCAGTTATTTGCTCGTTCTGATAATGATACACCAAAAAGTACACATTATTTTTATGAACGCCTGCATATTGAAAGGTTAGCTTTGCTTTTCATATAAGAGTTCGCGTTTCGTAATACCGCCTATATGTGTCGAGGACCAAAAATATAGATGTATGTGATGCAAATTCGCTACCGTTAATTTTTTTGCTGGAACGCTACTACGAATTAATTTTCATCATAAAATATTAGAAATTAAGCCTTTTTCAAAAGAGGTTACTACCCATGAGATATCTTATGTGGAGGGAACCAAGAGCTAGACGATTGTGTGTTTGAAATTAGGTACACTTAATCTTTTTACACAGTTAACAATTAGTCTTTTTTGGCATATAAGGTCTTAAGTGTCATGAGAATCTTTATATGCGGCGGTATCCAAAAAATGGCCCAAATTCGTTAAAGTAGATTTGTTTGTCAATTATGAGCCGATTTTCACAATGAAATTTTGAAAATTCAATTATTTTAACATAAAAAGTTTCAGTTTTCATAGGAACGCTTATATGAGAAGTTGTTCAAAAAGTTGCTCGAGCCCGTCCAAAGTTTTTACACCAATTTAGAATAACAATATATTAATACTTAGCCACTTTTGGTGAGAAA